GCCCTTAAGACTGTGTATTCGAAAGCTGGTTGGTCATTTTCTCCGTTATCTGAGACATCGGCCCTCCAGTGATATTGGTCATGGCCTGTCTGCTGGGAACAACTGTTAGCTGAAAAACTGAGATGCACCAGACACGACAACTTGTCCTGTTGTGCTGATAATGAGGGCAAATTCTCCGTGGAATTACAAATGTCATGTGACGACAAAGCAATCTTGGTAGTCGGACGTTTGCTGCTGGAATATGGTCATTCAATCCGATTTCTCTGATAATCCCAACAAAAAAGTCAGGTGTCGATTTCTACAGGGCCAAACCGTCGAGGCCCATGTTCATTTCACGTGAACCATTGCTCAGAGGAAAGAGTTCCTCTAGAAACTATGGTCTCACATAAAAATGGTCTTGTATGAAATTTACCTATTAGGGTTAGCCTAGCCCTTCAAGTTATTCTATGTATCATGGGTACATGGGCGCAAAAGGTGTAGTGGCAAGTGGCACGCTTACCACGCGAGCGGTCCGGGGATCAAATCCTGGGTCGTGAGTCGCCCGGGCCAACCAAGCCTTCCATCCCTCCGGGAATTGGTACCAGACTTGTCTGGGAGGATAAAAACACTGACTTGTACATCGGCTGGCCCCCGCAAGTCATTGTATAGGCCACATCGCATTCAAACGCCACTACGAATGTACAAATGGAAGTAGAATGCGTGCCGCATCCCAAAAAGGGATTGATCAACGGCAAATGCTTTATCCTTTTGTTATCATGGGTACACTACTTTGCACTCCAAACCTGCTTTCGCAAAAAAAATATTACTGTGACTCTCACAAGGTTGGTGAGCTACGAACCATTTAGCCCAGCCGGGTCCTGAACCCGGACCACGTCTTTTCTAGGCATGGGTACTCTGAGAGGTCATATTATACCTTGACTCAGCTCTCAGTTTAACCATAGGTTAGGCGCTCATGTCGTTGGGGATGACATTCAAGTGATTGAGCCACTTACAGTACTTGGGGCTGAGCCTCGGGGAGGGGAAGGGGCTCTGGGGGAGTATGTGAGCAGACTATGTTCTCCCTAGCGTTTCTGCTCTCGTAGGCTTGTCCTAGTGTCAACTATCGGCCCTGCACGGGAGCCCCCAAGGACGTGAGCGCCGGTTACGCAACTAGGTCGCAGCATTATCGTCCAAGAAGCACAATTTACGAGCGGGAGTCCCAGATAGCCCGGAACTCAGCTTCCTTGTGATAACCATTGTGTCGCGATTGAAAAACAGCAATTAAGACAACAACGAGTGTATCTCCAGCAATTTCCGTGATCGCTAAGGAATTGCTGGAGATGACATTAATAACTTTCACTTTCTATCTAACAGCTGATCATGAGAGCTGTGTACCATGTCTTTTGGTTGCCATGGACTCGCTGTGCTTTTCTTCCCTGCTATCCCTACTT